ACCCCCGTTAACCTATGACAATATTTAAATCACCAGGAGGTTGAATAACAAGTAAACAGAAAATCAATAATTGAATATCGTCCATAAACAACACAGAATTGCAGAGTATTAGATATCTATGCCGCTAATAATAAACAAGTGTTGCGATGAATAGTGGCATATCGGCATATCAGCCAGTATATTTCCCTGACAACAAACCCTGGGGGGGACTGTAGAATACTGGAAGGGACACATAAATCGATCCTTATCGTACAATAAAGAGAAGCAGCCCTCGCCTTCCAGTGGATGTTTGTGCATCGTGACGTGACCCTAGATAAACTTATTATGATGACATCAATTATGTTCTGTCTCGCTGTGTGCTGTGGAATAATACAGGTTCGTTTTGTTCCTCTCAACTCTAGAAACTTTAATTTAAATGTATGTTTGTTTTGTAAAATTTGTTAAAGCCTCCTTTTTATTATGATAAAGGTATTTTAGTTTTTTGTACAGAAATGTGCAGCTTGTGTTTAGAACTCGTTTATTAGTCCTAAATTTCTGTCCTTGTCAACGGAAGTCACCTACTTAAATTATAGTGCGAACTTAGCACAATTTATTGTGACTGGTTTTTGCGAACGTTCTAGACTAAATGCATAGAATATTCCAGAAGTTGTTTAGGTTTTCCTTTGAATATGCAAATTATGAACGTAAATAGAAAAAGGATTTTGTCGCCTCGTTTCATGGTCATCAATTTTGAATAATTACCTAATTCCTTTTTAACGCATTAGACACTTACTTTAAAATAGCACATAACGTAACATTAATAAATAATTTAAGAAAAAACTCTAAATTATTAGTAAGCCTGTAAGAAAATTTTAAACAAGCGTCAGGATACAAGCTATTCAAATCATAATAATTAGTATCAATCTAATAATGGCTGTGTTACGTTCAGGTCAATTCGTTGTCTAAAGGTTAATTAGCACTAAGTTTAGAATGTACAATCACGAAGATTTAGTTCATAATCTCATGTCTCCAGATAAGAGTATTAGAGATTTTATTCTGAAGACTTTCTTACCTAGAACATGTCTAAAGAGGAATAGAGATACAATTTTGTCTTAACGCTCAAACAAAATGTTCATAAAGACTTCGACATAAAGTTTTCGCTTCTCAGGGCCGGTTTTTCCAACGCCAGATAAAGAATTAACTGATGATTGAAAAATCGACCCTTAATCTTATTGCTACAGGTTCCATTCGATATAGCTTGCAAATAACCCCATTATTCGGTTATTCCGTATAATGTACTTATAAAGCTCAAGACAAAGAAGAACATTTCTCTCTGGATGTACTTAATACAAAATATTTATTTCGTCCGTGTAATGGTACCTATGATTGACTGTTTAATAGCCTTACTTACACTTAATAAGTATAAGTTTACAATGTCTTTCTTACTTTTACCATTCAGTATTGTTACCATCCTAAATATCAACCTATGCACTAAGATAGTAGGTACATAGTAACAACCCACGGATTATTGTTATGACATGCAAATAAAATAACAAATAGATATTTGACTAATAGGCGAGATAACTGTATCGCAGCACTTAGCAACAGTTGATAGGCGAGCATTCACCCCCCGCATACATAATGTACTTACATAACTTACATTATATAAAAAGTAACTTGATATACAGAAACATGTAATTTTTCGCACTGATAGTATTATCATACACTCCCGCCTCCGTTGAAATTATACTGGTGTTGTTTTCATTGCCATAGAATCCAATACGGTCGATAATGATAAACAAACAGACGGAAAGAAAGATATTTTTATACTACAGACCCAATTATTATTAGTTATCGCGGTGGGTGCAAAAAAATAAGTATTTTTGTTGCGTGAGAGTCAATGGTTTGTGAATCATACGATGTCATTGTACCAGAAACTTATGTACGCTACCCCACCTTACGGTCTGTACTGTAGAGCAAACAGTTGAACTGTACAGTTTTATCGGAAGGTGTGTAGGCTGTATGTACCTACGATTTAAATGTACACTTTGACTGTACAGTTAAAACTGCATAGTTAACTTCTTAATCCACAATATTTGTTCATACAAAAGAAGTATTTTTAAACATCGGAAATAAAGTATATAATGGAGTAAATGGAGACCGGTGACCGCTTGAGGACTGGGCATTATGTGTAGTAAGGTGTGTACTTGTCTAGCGTGCATTAGAGACAACTTGAACTATTGAATAATTCATTCGATTATTATGTTTGTCCCTTTGTATCCAACTGTTTAGAAAACAGCTAATATGCTCCTATTTTCTACCTAGCCTATTACCTCTGTCTTACACAGTATTTTTGAGCTCGACTGACTGTCTTTAAAGCTTTGCATGAAGGAATAAGATACGTCCACGTTTGTCTTCTTTATCTAAACGCGATAGTTTAGTAGCTACATAATGTACCGCATCAAATTGAAATACACGGACAGAATAAATGAACTATGTTTCTAGATGAAGTCCGTAAAAAAGCTAACCTACATTGTACCTATATTTTGTATATTCGCCCCTACAGATCTTTCCAAAACCACACGCATAGATTTATTATCTATGATCGTAGGTAATCGTAACACGTGCAACATACATTTGTAATTAATTAATTTTACATTCATAATTCAAAAGATAGGCATACAATACATAAAGTGACGTATCTTATAGGTACTAGAGCACATAATAGTTTATCAATGATGACCGACCGGCTCAAGAGTGCAGTTTCACTACTTATCGAGTTATATCTACAAAATCAATAACTATAATATCTGAACAGCACACTTGTTCTTGTTTATAATCTTGTAATCAGTTGTTTATTAGAACTGGGACTGCTCTAGCTATTTCCACGTATCTAGATATACTAACTAGGTAGATAGGTATCTATTTTAGTGATTCTATCTTACTTTTATATGTAGATATATTTAATCGTAAGTACCTATCTAATTTGTAATTCCCCGAATTGAACCTAAAACCGGGATGCAACCATATCAGTATCAACTAATCTTCACAAAGTGTGTCGACACCATAATGGTGTGTCCACATCTAGCGAATGTCAGCGTAGACGCACCACTATAGCGGCAGGCGGCAGGTAGGTAATAGAAAACAATTCTACAAAAAAATGTTATTGACTGGTGTTCGTTCCTGTGAATTTCAAGAAAAACCCACAAGTTAACAACCGAGTAAAAAGCCTTTGTGTAACTCGATGTTTCAAGGTAATCGATTATTTATTACTTATTACACAAATAAAATAAGAATTAAATCATTTTAATTAGTACACTGACTTTGTGTTAAGAAATTGTTATGAATTGTGACTCTTAACAGTTTTATCAACACTTTATTACATACGTAAGTCTAATAAATCAGTACCTCTAGTTACTTGTTTTTCTACTTGTCAAGTAAGTACCGTACTTACTTTGTTGCGATTTTACTGCCACCGTAAATCAATGTATATTAATAAGATAACGCATTATACTTGAGTAAAACAAATTATTCCAACACGTCTCGAATTAATTTATTAGTATAATTTAAGTTATTAGTATAATTCGTCAAGCATGTCTTTGCATTGTTCTTACATATGCGTACAGTATTGAAATATGTATCAGAGACATTGTAGAACATACTTTTTTAAAAAAAGAGTAACGAATGGAGTTTCTTGCTCGTTCTTCTCCATTCGAATCTACTTTTTGGAATGAGCACCTAGCTTCACCTAGTTTCACTGACGGACTGACTGACAGACTATTATTTATTTTGTATTTGTTGACGTTTCAAAAGCACCAAACTATGGTTTAATTGAAATAAATGCTTAAGTCAAAGCGTATCAATCAAAGTCAAAGTGACTTTGACTTTGATTGATACTTATTTTTTTTCATACATTTAATTGTCTAATTGGCATTTACCTATATGAAAAAATTGCCATTATTAATTGCAATTATCAAAAAATCAATAAAGTATTCGTAAGATGCTACTTTATTTTTTCTTTTGTTTACATTGCATTCGTGTTCCATTTATCAGTAGGTAGTCAGTGGCAGGAAATAAAAGACCTTCGAATTTTAAAAGATGGAATTCAGAATAGATAAAAAAAACATTACCTAGTTCATAGACATTTTGTTTTTTTTTTGGCGGGATTATATTTTGCATGCAAAGGTTTCTCGAAACGTCCAGCCTATTCAAGTAAAAGGAATTTATCAGTGCCATGATCCATAACCACATTGTAAACGTTATCAACATAAAATCCTTGTTATTATTTATAGGTCTCGCTATTTTAATAGACGTCAGATGAGAAGATCGTATTCATTATTATCTTTGTACCCATGTACCCTTGACTGCGAACATTTTACTTTAATAACGTTGAACCTAATAAGTATTGATCTCATTCGGACAGGGTTAAACAGTATCGAATATTGTGTGTGCGATACGTTTGTTATTCAGTTATTTTTAGTCTGTGCAAGTGTTAAATTCAAAAACAAGCTGATAATTTAAAATAAAATGCGGCAGCTTTATTATCGCTTGTATTGTGCGTGAGATACCTACTTGTAACACAGAAATCACCAAATTTTTCAGACCAAAACTATAGTTATTAATTTCGAAGGAATATTCCAAAAGTTTCAAGTTCGATAACGTAAAATGAGTTCGGTAAACAGCAAATATAAATGCAAAGTTGTATATTTGTTAATTGTTAATGATAATGACCTTAACACAATTTTTGAATGCGAAAAGACAAAGCGAGGAATCATTTATGAGTACAAACACCTAATGTGTCAGTCTATCAGTATTTACATAAATATAAACACAATCGATGGACTGATTTAAAAAAAAACGTCAAAATAAGTCATTATACAACTAGAATCATTTACGACTACTAGAGTTTAACCTAGCTACTACAAATAGTACTACTTTGTGCAAAAAGGCTATAAAGTCTCTTTTTTATCAATAGCTAATTATAAAAATGTAACAAACTAACAATGTAACACTTACATGGTTCATCCGAAAACTTGCTGTGCGGCGTACGTGATGTGTAAGTAGCCGTCGTGTGCTCGAAACTGCTCGTACGCCTGCGCCATCGTCATACTGTGACTTGCGAGCACTTTGTCGTTCACCAGCAAATACAGCGCCTATGATAATGAAACATATTATTACTTACATATATCATGAAATAAATAAAGTCCTAAGGTAAGTAAAGGACATTAGATAGGAACTTAACGACAAAAAGGACAGATTGTGTATTATTAAATGCTGTGGAATGCTACGCACGCGATGGTTTAATGGCCGACAGCTTACGTAGGCGCGAAGCTGCTACGCTGTACAGCGTAGCATTCGTAGCTTGGCGTAGCATACGTAGCGTGGCGTAGCAATACATCGTAGCCGTTAAGTTTTTTTTATATTTGTTGAGCCGAGATGTTTGACTACTATCTCGGTGGTAAGCAATAATGCGGTCTACGATGGAGCACGTCGTCCCATAACAACCTATTCACTCAGCCGTTGAAGACACTCAGGTTATATATACCCTTTAGGAAATACAGACTCTGGCAAAGAATTCCACTCCTTTAGCAGTACGCACAAGTAAGTGATGCCGTAGTAATTTCCTATTTATCTTATTCTATGTAATTCCTAAAATATGTAATTATTACTTGTTTTATAATATTTACCTGTGATTCTCTTAATTTCATCTTTGTCCGTATTATGTAAAGGAACTGGGACATTGTGAGCTCTTGTGGCACTAGGAATTTGTTTCTGCCTAAAGCGGGCACCTCTCGTTCTCTCGAGTATCGCTCCACGTATAGCTGAACATATTTATATATTCATTAGTAAATGGATTACGCGAATCAGTTTATTTGTGTAAATAAATAAGATCTGAGAGATATTGGATATACAAAACCAAGCTAAGAAATATTCAAAAGGTAATAAATACAAAAAAAATAATACTCACGGGCACTTTATTTGGAAACCTATGTCTGATTGCCTGAACCTCTTGGTTAGACTGCTTGATATTCATTTCTGTAACAAAATAAACTTGTAACTAAATGAACTTGTAACAATATTGGATTAAACCAAAAACTGTATTAGTTCACAAAGATGCAACTAATACTGTGTCTTGGTTATGAAATAACATTATTCCTTCAACACACTACAACAATGAAATTTTTTGTCTTTGAATTTAGGTGTGATGCAAGCTAAAGATAAGAAAATACAAGACTTATCTCTCTTGTCGGGAACCAAAGAGTATGAATATATCTGGATAACTACATACTAACTTTAATAACTTTGTAACACTTTTATCACAAAGTATTTATCACCTAAATGATAAGCTATTAATGTACCTAATAATCTTTTGGTCATAATTTGGCGGCAATTATTAAAAGTTTTCCCTTTTCTATTAGAGAGAGCTATGTTCTGCAATCGACGTCTCGTGGCTGGTATAAAGATCATGTTATGAGGATTGCGACCAATCTATATAAATAAAAACAAATTTCCGTTCGTTAGTCTCGCTAAAACTCGAGAACGGCTGAACCGATTTGGATAATTGTGGTCTTGAAATGTTTGCAGAATTCCAGGGAAGAGTTAAAAGGTGAGAAATATCTTTTTAGGCGGTTCGAAGTTTGCCGGGTCAGTTAATAGAATAAATAATTCAAATAGTATTTTAATACCTCACCATCTTTATATCCAAAGACTTCTTGTGACGCGTAGGTGATGTACAGGAACCCATCTTCATCACCATAGTTGTCGTATGCCTGTGCCATTGTCAGACTCATACTCAGCATTGATTTGTTGTTTATTATCAGATATAAGGCCTGCAACAAAATAATGTTGTTGTAAATATCAATTGTTGTGTACCTACCTTTTTGTTTTATTTAAGGCCGGAGACCTTAGTACGACTTTGTTTTTCGTTTAAAGTAATAGACACGAGTGCACGTTCGGCACTCTGATTGGTCGGCTCAAATGAAGCAACCAATCAGAGCGCATAAGGCCGTAATTTTTTTTTATAACACTTTTATAATGCGATCTGTCGCCAGTGGGACATTAAACAGAAGGTTTGTCTATAAATAAGGGCGTGTACAGAGTAGCGACCTATGTCGCATCCTTTTTAATATTTATGTGTGTTTACTTTAACACATCTTGGGGGATCTTTCGTTTCAGCCGAAATTAAGGCCTAAGGCCGTAATTAACAAAATCTCGTAATAAGGCCTCGTGTCTTGGGGCGGGATGTATCTAGCATAAATCCTACTATTCTACCGTTATCAACTTAAAAATTTTGCAGTTGAAAATTTAAAGCTTTGTAGTTGTAGCGATTGTTGTCACTGAACCTGAACTGGTAGTAATAATCGGATAATTCTGAGTAAGAATTCGTTTATTCAGCTATCTTACTTTAACTTGACTATTCATTAAAAGTATGAATTATAAGTATCTTATGCTGCCTCATCAAATAGTTTAAGTCATTTGAAACAAATCTAGTTTATGAACTCATGTACTAAGTAATATTATCAATTAATTAATGTATTTATCTGTAAAGCTAATTGATTGATTACGGGATTACATAAATAATACTTTTACCCATCGATAGTGCATAGTTTCAACCAGATCTAACTAGACATTGAATGACTAGATCAAGACCTAGACTTTGGTATCAATTTCTTTAGCATTGTAGATGATACGTGTCATAATTCTCTACAGATTATTAGGCTAATTGTTTGAACTCTTTGATTGATTCGTCGATTTGTTCAAAGAATAATGGTCTTTATAAACTTGTAATACTTACTTGGTTTGGTTTGATTCGTATCCTATTTCGTATTATAACTAGAAACTGTGACATGGTGATATCTTCAGGAACTAAGAACTTTGATTTATCCAACGTTGGTAGATTTCTTTCTTTATGATATCTTTCTACTATTAGCTGTAAACAAATACACAAATTAATTATTAGAACTTTAATTATGACGTGTTTTTAAAAGCCGTCGTTGCAAAATTTTGCTATATTAATGCTACAAGCAAGCTAGATGCTACTGATCGTAGCAACATCATCACGCCTTTTATCCCCGAAGGAGTAAGCAGAAGTGTACATTACGGCACTCACTGCCACTGTACTGTAACACCCATTTTTCACTTTATGTTATGGGTCCCATATAATAGGGGATGAGCCTATTGCCATATACTCGGCACATTTTCAGACTCCGTACTACTACTGAGATTTCTTTGAAAACACCCAGTATTACTTTGCCCGACCCGGGAATCGTACAAGAGACCCCTTGCCCGGCAGTCGCACTTGGGACCACTCGGCCAACGAGGCAGTCGTGGCTTATGATTTTTATTAAACTTGCAAGAGACCATTGAGCAAGTATTGAAGGCACTAAGAAGACAAGCAAAGAAGTTTTTCGATAGGTAAACTTACGGGTATTTTGGTGGGAAATTTGTTTTTTATCGCCATTACCTCTTCCTTTCTGCTTACTGTAATGAAATAAACAAACATCAGATATTATTTCTGCGTTATTCTCGAAGTAACTTAAACTAATTATGTTGTCAATACGACTTAGGTCCCTTTTCACCAAGCTCTGTAAAAACTCAGTTACACGTAACCTAAGTTTAAAGTAACCTAAGTTCTGTGTTCTGTGTTTTCTGTACTGAGTTCCGTGTAAACTAGTTTCTGTTTGTAGCGGTGAAATGTAAAATGAAGCTGTAACTTCGTTTAAACGCTTTAAATTCGATTAGACGCTTTAAATCAGTTTTGTTAGGTGTAATCGTGATCAGTTTCGTTGGTGAAAAGGGACCTTATTCACGTTTGCCACGTCATTGCGCGATAATTTACAGTTGTAAATTATCGCGCAATGGTATCCATGACTATATGAGCCCCTGACGTGGCACGAAACTAATCGTACTACCTCGTACTAAAGTTGGTGATGAGTAAATAAATGTTGTAGGTACCTATTGTATAAATATAATAATGATATGATTTAAGTTGAAGTTCGACGGCCAATAACAGGAAAGTTCTTTGCACTATTTATCAATGCAACTGCTAATCAACTTTTAACTTTGCTAGAGGTACTTACCTATTATAAAAATTACGTAGTAAAATAAAATGTATTTAAAGTGGCAAAGGAATCAATTAGTTGTTACCGTCACGAGATTCAAACAGTACAAATTCAACGATGGTTTTCACTCAGAACTTCATCTAAGATGATTTTTATTTAATGCTTTTCTAAAAGTATTTCATAATTCTGTTAAAATCACATGTTTCATATCTACAATCTAGAATACTAGTACGGACGGGCAGAGTCAATAAACATGACGTGATGTCTGACGACAAAAACTTAAGTAAATGTACGTAATGTCAATATCGATATTACCTAACTAGCTACTTCCGCGCGGTTTACACGCTCTGCTCAGCTCCTATTGGTCGTAGCGTAATGTTTTATAGCCTATAGCCATCCTCGATAAATGCACTATCCAACGCAACAATAATTATTCAAATCAGACTTGTAGTTACGGAGATTAGTGTGTTCAAACAAAAAAACAAACAAAAAAAAACTAACTCTTCCGCTTTATATAATAGTATAAGTTATAAGATATCAGGGATGTTAGGGAGCTCCGTAACCGTAACCGAAACTATCGGATATCCGATATAAAAAATATCCGTCACCATAACCGAATCCGATATAAAAGTTTCGGATACTATCGGATAGGGGTGTGACATATAATGAACCCATTATATTAGCTATTTGTATTTTACTTTTGAATTTTTTTTAATGTCCTGTAAGCCAGGATCTACAGCAGATACAACCATGAAAACACCGGAACACTGAAGTCCGGCGCGTCCCAGGGACATGAACAACTGTCTTGGTTCCCGCAACGAAGTGAATCAGAAGATATTATAAAAGGAGAAGAAGAAAAAACGATGGTTTCCACTTTTGAAATTTCTTAAAATTTTAATTTCCGTCCTCGAAATTATCCTAAACTGACGGATAATCCGAAATAATTTCGTATCCGTAACCGTATCCAGTATAATAATTATTTCTATATCCGTATCCAATCCGTATCCGAAATTTCATATCCATATTGATATTAGGCAGGGATATCCCTGCCCAATATAAATTTGATTTCAATATTAAGTTTAAACAATCGTTAAAGCTAAAGGCTAACTACTAACCTTGGTAATTCTATACTTAACAATATCTCTAAAAATGCTATCTTTAAAACTTAAAACTGTGTCATTTGCGATAGTAATTATATTAAAGACCCCAATTTGCTGCCTCTAGTCCTCAGTCAAATTAGGTGGAACACAATCTAAATTAACGAAATTACCAATAGGCAACCTATATTTCACATGTGATGTGATCTATCCACAAATAATGGAGTGTTTTTCTTAAGGTGAGATAATCATCGAATGATTTCTTCCACCTGCGTGAGGTGGAAGACAGTGTCAGACTCTTACTGACTAATTAAAAACCACCTCGTTCCTACTCCTGCACTTTGGGCCAGAGCCCCGGTAACGTTTTACGTTCTCCGACTCCGTATCGGCATCAAGCCTATTGGGCCCCATCCGTGGTGGTCTGCTAACTCTTTGAATTAATGGCGTGTAGGCCTACACGAGCGCGGTCACGTTAACTATACGTCACATTACAAAATGAGACCAATTATATTAAGCAATTTTAACGCACTGATAACTAGAACTTATACTAACAAAACACATAATTTGATGGTTCAATGAACTTCATATACGCATAAACAATTTGCTAATGATACTTAGTTATATCGTATTATCAAAACATCTGTTTCGAGATCTCAAATGGGCTATTGACATAAATTTAGAATTATCTGTGAAGATTTATCGGCCCCGTGTTGTGGTAAACAAATTATCGATTACTTGTTACATTAAATTGTTTATTACAATTATTAGGTATTTATTTGAAGTATTTGATGTTATTGAACGACAAAGTAAACAAGTTTTTGGTGTCCTTAGTACAGAGCATTCTAGCAACATTATTTGATTTGAAAATGAAAGTTTCAATTTGATCCATACGGGACGGGGTGCCTATAAATTTTTCAGTGATTAAGGATATCTGATCTTGTATTGTGGAGTAAAAAGGGAGATTTATTTGGTCTAGTACAAAACCTTTTTCTTAAATAGTTTTACACTCACTGTTATCGGATAAATAGATATTAAGATATTAAAGTACAATTAATCTTATGTACGAGTATCTATTGGTACTTATTAACACATTGTAACACACGGACTTTGCAATGGAAAATCTTAACTATTTACTGATAATAAATAGCAAAACTTACTGAAAGGTTTCTTTGATTTGAAGCACTGTTTCACATTGTGATTCACATCGTGTTTTATTAATGTTGTTATGAAGTTCAACTCCATTTTGAAGTGGCCGATCTCACAGTTATCACGTTTGGTCTCGCGGTGTCGTGCACTCGACGCGCAGTACGAACCCCGACTACAGCAATGTAAATATCTACGGCACTTTTATCATTTTAACTTGGAGCGCACTCGTAAACAACACGATAATCAGACCCCTTTTAATTTCTATTATTCATAGTTGCATTTCACTTGGAGTGATAGTGATTACTCTGTTACTGGCGGTTCATCACGTATTTCTTTATTGATTTACTTGCATAATACCCTCGATAAGGGGACATTTGACAGTGATTGCTTTTTCTCTTTTTGTCATTACTTTGTTTGAAAGTAAATAGAAAGAGGTAGTCATTATTTGGTAACGATTTCGAATTTTGGTGTGCATCTTAAAGTATTTAACCAAATGCATTAATAAAAAGTTACAAGGCGCGTCCACAAAATTTTTTAAAAGGTTTTGGTGTCGGTTGTTGATAACTGCTTTCTATACTTACGTGTACAGGTTGTACCCTTGTAATCCGGGCCCTAAGCTTGATAAAATAACCCTACGAACGTACCCTGCACCCAACTGATTGAATTTTCTGATTCCAATCTATATATAGAAATGAAACCCGTTTCCCGTTGTCACGCCATAACTTGAGAACAGTTAGACCGATTTGGCGGATATTTTTTCTTGTGTTTGTTATTGTCAGGAGAAAGTTCTTATGACAGAAAAAATCCTGAATATCCTACGGGAACGGGAGAAAACGGAATTACGTGTAAGAAGTCGCAGGCAGAAACTAATATGTCTAATAAAATAACCCAATAAGTTTGATGGTTTGATATCGGCTCATGCATTCAGCCGCCTACTATATATCCAGTAAAATACGATGGCGAGGAAGAAAATAATACTATCATTAATTTTATTTATCTGTGTACGTGATTAGTATATTAGAAACTAATTGAATATTATTCATGCGTGATTGGAACTCAAAACCTAGGCACACATAGTTATACATATCTGAGCTGACTTAGCTCTAGGTATCTCGCCTATCTCGGGTTCTATTCTCGAGTTGGTCAAAGTACTTATGACTGAAACTGTGCCCGAAATATGTCGGAAAGCATACCTCCTATCAACACTAATGTGAATTATAACATAACTGCATGCATAGCTTGATGTGTTGTGTAGCTGTATGTACTATTAAAATTGAAAACGCATCATCATTATCATCATCATCAACAGCTGGAAGACGTCCACGACTCACTAGAATAAAGTCAACCTCATGACAAACCTACAGTTTCCTTTACCGGATGTTTGTTACAGACCTGCTGATACAATTTGACGGAAACATTTTAATCTAGTGCAACAATGTTGAGAAAGGTTAGACTAATTAGTATTAATTGATCTATCCTCTTATATCTACCTGCTATAGGTAGACTAGGACTGTGTGATTACTGCGTGAACATCATAACGTGAATAAAGGATGTCCCTCGATAAACCAACGTGATATCTTCTTTAATTACAAGCACCTCCTAATGAATTCTCCGAGGCAGTAAAGATGGTGAATACGGACTTGGCACGAATCTCGGAATGGAGTACGACCTATGGTTTGAAAGTTAACCCCGCGAAAACACAAGTCATTGTTGTCGGTAGCCCCCGCTTACGCTGTAAAATTATGTGGTCGCAGATCCCTTCAATTATTTTTAATGGTACCACAATCCCATACAGTGACACAGTAAAAGACTTGGGTATTGTCATGGACCGAGACTTCACTTGGGAACCTCAACTGAAACAAGTAAGTCGGAAAATGTTTGCGTCTGCGAGGTCTTTGCGTAGACTTCGGAACTTTCTTCCGACTGCTACTAAAATTGCGCTTACTCAATCACTTCTTCTTCCCATCCTCGATTATGCTGACGTCAGCTATCCAGATCTTACCGAAGTGCAGCTAGATAAACTTGAGCGACTCCAAAATTTTAGTATACGGTTTATATTTGGTTTACGCAAATATGATCATATTTCCGAATATCGCGCTAAACTCAAGTGGCTGCCGATCCGCCTTCGCCGGGATACTCATATCTTATCCTTACTCTACAGTATACTGTTTAATCCTACTACCCCCCCCTATCTCAAAGAACGTTTCCAGTTCTACCATGACACACATTCTAGACCAGTACGGTCGTCGGAGGATATGAAGCTTGAGATGCCCCAGCATGCGAGTAGATCATTCGACAGATCTTTTACAGTACGAGCTGTTCGACTGTGGAATGCTCTGCCACTTTCTGTCAGACAAGCAGAGTCACTTGTTACATTCAAAGCACTCGTGAAAAACCATTATCTCGCCACGTTGTAGTCCATTACTATTTCTTTTTTCTTTTGCTGTTCCTATTCATCATCTGTGCTATATTTTTATTTATGTATATATATATATATGTATATATATATATATATTTACATCCTAGAATCCTTTTGGCGTCACACATGTCGCGCATCATTACGACGTCCCCCAGTTCCCCTTAATTTTTTTTATATGTCTTAATGAATATTGCTTAGTTATTCGATTTCCAGCTTTGTAGGATACGTCATTTTCCGATAATTTTATTTTTCACGATATTCTTCTTGCAGTCATGCTGCAACATTTTTGAACCCCAAACCATCGTGATAACTAATTGGGCTCCTAGATATATTGATCGTGATTTAACCATGGCTTCGGCTAATTAACGTCCTCACAGCGTGGATGGTATTTGCGAGTGCAACGTTGCCAGCTTTGGTTCACTTGTCTCTTTCTTTTCCTCTCTCTTGTCACTCGTCTGGGACAGAGTTTTAACAGTATTACAATATTCGTAAAATCTATCAATACATATACTAATGCCCGATATTGGTATAATATTGGTAACAAGATGCAAAAAAATTGAGGTTTCTATGAGATTTTTACATGAGAAGATGCCGCAGTAGGAATAACGTATTTTTTAAATGATTGCCTAGTCTATTCCATACATAAATACAAATCGGTTCAGCCCGTATGTGATCGGCGTACCGGTTTTACAAATTTATCTAAAGAAAGAACTCAGAACTCGATTTTTATTTCAAAGCAAGCAAGAGTAAAATACGTGAAAGTTTCTTCCCCAGCGGTCATCATGTAAGATCATCTATAACTGTGAAAGATCATCTAGCTATTGGGCGTCCGTATATAGTTATTAATCATCATCAGCCTATTTAAGTCCACTGCTGGACTAGCACTATCTACTGGGCTACGTTAGGAATTCAAAAATGGTTATGCAAATTTCAGTTGACCCAAACGCTATGGTCATCAAGTAAAAAGCTACATCACTATACTGCTCACACACGGAAATGGGAGGTCCGTTGATTGCGGATCCTGACAATTGACATAGTAATGGCAGGGGTCTCTTGCAGAGCCTGACGATGGCCATGCGCGCGAAGAAAGTTTCTTCCTCAGCAGGTATCATGTAAGATCACTTAGCTATCGAACGTCCGTATATGAAAGAAAGAAAGAAAGAAAAATCATTTATTTGGCAATTACACGCACAGAAAACAAAGAATATAAAAAAAATAAAAATACATATATAAGGTGTTCTATAATTTTATGCCACGGCTTTAATGGGAGGTAGTGTTATGTTTACAGATTACAATTGTGAAGAAATTTCGTACCCCGGACCAGTTAATTACATACAGTAATTAAGTAAACATTGACTACATTCTGCATAATGTGGTTCACAAATTACGCGCGATGCGTCGCTTAGTCAATGAAAACAATTGCTATCTCTTTCCACGTGTACTGAGAATGAAAACGGAAATCAGCTGACTAGTTCGTCACTATCTAATCTACTAGATACTCAATAGGCAGGCTAACAAGGGTTTTAAAAGTGCAATTACTTACCAGGTACGGCATTCTTCCGAAAAGCTGATGTAGGTAAATAAGATTATAAACTTCCCATCACACTTAAAACAGTTTTTTACACACTCTCTACCTACTTATCTACAAAACTGTTGCACAAGTCCACCTTCGCGTTGCACACAAATGAAGGCACGCTTCCACACATGTCATATCACATTACTTAATGCGTCCGTTTCACTTTTACTCCTCCTTCTGCGAAGCAGTCCTGCTAGCTAAGGAGGAGGCGGAGCTCGTGAGGGAACGAGCCTCCTCACGCTCCAGCCGTCACGAGAGACACTCCATCAGACATCACGGATGGAGCTGATGCCCATACGGAGCCACAGGGAACTTAAAGGGTGACCGGGGCTCCGACTCGAAGTGCAGGAATAGGAACGGGGTGGTTTTAAGCCAGTAAGAGTCGGAAGGTACCTGTGTCTGATGGGGCGGGAGGAAACGTCCGTGTGTCATCACTGTGAGGACCGCCTTGAGGACACGGTGGAACACACTATAGCGGAATGCATTGCGTGGGCTGAGCACCGCCGTACCCTCAGGGAAGTGATCGGCGATGGCGACCTCTCGCGTCCGGGCCTAGTGCAGGCCATGATGCGGAGCGAGGGGGACTGGGATGCCGTCTCCTCCTTTTGCGAAGCAGTCAAGCTAGCTAAGGAGGAGGCGGGACGCATGAGGCAGCGAAGCGCTGCCTCCTCGCAACCCAGCCATCGCAAAGGACACACCGGGCGTCGGGGATCGCGGACGATCTCCGGCCACCGTAAGCGCGGGCCTGCGGACGGCGAGCATGGGTGGCTCCCCGTCCGACCAGAAACAGACCTGAACGTGCGGCGCGTCGCGTTCCGCGCGCGCCTCAAAGAGCCATAAAACCACCACAGATGGGGCCCAACAGGGCCGATGCCGAGTCGGAGTCGCGGAGAACCTAACGGGTAACCGGGGCTCCGGCTGGACGTGCAGGAAAAGGAACGGGGTGGTTTTAGTCAGTAAGAGTGACACTCCCTCCCGCCTTACCCAGGCGGGAGCAGTCAATCGATGATTTTCCCCGCTTAAAAAAAAAGTCAGTAAGAGAAACTTCCTCTGAAACTTCCACTCCCCTCACCAGCGCGGCCGCCGGCGGCCGGCAAAAGG